AATATGTGTGATACCTGCTTTACATCCTCATCAAATTTTCAGACAAATATATTAGATTATTTATTCCTGTTTTGAAATTCAAAATTTCATAATACAAAAGCAAAAAAACTCTTCCAATTGCAATTTTTATTTCACAGTTTACTTTTGAAATATGACACTAGTCCAAAGCAAACAAGATACGCAAACTTATTTTCTCCATACACAAATAGTTTTGTAATTCCACTGCCCCAAAATATTTGCTGGGATAATTCCATGATGTTCTCACAGCTGTTGTAAAATAATGAGGTGCAATGAATTTTATCACGCACAAAAATTCAAGCATTTCTACAACCTGATTCAAAGATACGGGCAATAAAAAGTTAGACTTGGGCTTATTCACAGAATTACAATCACTGACTTCAACAATCGAGTTAGATGCCTGTTCTAAGGTTCATTCGTCAATTCCTTGCATTCTTGGCGATTTTCATTTTTCTGCAGACTTTTACCATTCATAAACATTTCGAGGCTAACTTGTCCATACACTTCCAACATTATGTATTCAGAGTTATAATCATGCATCAGTGATGTCTTGTACTCATCACGTGATAACCATTATAGACAAAACTGCAGTTTCCCATGTTCCAATCAACAAATGCTGTAAGGTTGAATTAAATCTACAAAATGTGAATTCCCTAAAACTTAATGTCACTGCACATATCTTCAAGTTTTTATATCTGGAACCTGAGTATTGAAACTGATTTTTTTGGTGTGTTGAGAATCCAAAAGAAAGAGGGGAAAAAATTAAAATCAACAAAGTTGATAACCCCATTATGAGAATTGGCAAATTATTTTTAAAAAGTGGGTTTTTGTTTCTCAAACTTTTTAATAGGAAAATTCTCTTTTCCCAGCAATACTAATACCTGAAAATTCTTATAACAATTTTCAAAACTTGAGATTTACAAGCTCTGCATATACCAAACAATTGACTAACCTTATTTAATCTCAGTTATGTTTTTACTTACCACAAAAAGCTGACTAACCTTATTCAACCTATGCTATGTATTTACATACAGTTAAAATTTCTATTCAACAAATTTCTGTATACCTGAGCATCAAATGATCCATTTTCCAAAAAATCAACTGTCAGTGGTTGAGAAAATTCTTGCAAAGCACATAGTGCAACACTGAAATAAAAAACATTTTTTTAAAATACATCATATCATGCAGGTACAAGTTGACATTCCATACTTTTCCAGGTAGTGAAAGGAATTATAGGTGACCATTACAATAATCAGTCTTATATACACCTGGAAAAAAGTTAAGCACCCCCAAATATTTTTCAGGATTGCTTATTGAAAATAAGGTTTAATTTTCATGATGTTGAGCAATGTTCATAATTTCAAACATAATTAAAAGGATGTGAGCGTTCAGGTGTGACATTTAAATCAGGCGCGTTTTTTCCCCCACGTGCAATTTTTTTCCCCACGTGCAACTTGCTCCCTTCTTCACGTCCAATATGCACTATTTTCTCGTGCATCAAATCCGTATTTAAGT